ATAATTGACACATTGACAACATTATCACATTGTAAATGTAAAATGAAAACAATTTTAATTCAGTAAAAAATCTAAATTTTTACAATAGACAACAAATCTCATGGAAGAAAGATTTCTTAAAATTTAAAAAAAGAATTCATTTTTTTCACAGCCTGTAATTATCATCAGGGGCAGTAATCCAACATGGGTAGCAAGTTTCCAGATGTTTCAGACTTTGGCAAAGTGAATAGGATGTGCTTAGGATATCATCATTTATATTAGATGTGTATAGGATATCATCAGTCATATCGTTGTGCATATGATACATCTATGATATCATTCTTTATATTAGGTATGTATGGTATCATCATTTATATTAGATATGTATTTGATATCATCATTTATATTAGATATATTGTTTATATCATTGTGTATATAATATTGTCAATTAAATGAAGTGTATATGATATTGCTGATATGTGATGTGTATACGATATTATTGTTTATATGATTTGTATATGATATCACAGAATATGATGTGCCAGTAAAATAAAAAGTAGGCATCCAATCTCTGACATCTTAATGATTTTTTTTCTTGGTTTACAACTTCTTTCTTTCATACTAAAATTTTGTTTTAATGTTTTATCTTTTTCTATGGTATATCACGTCATAAAACAATATCTAACATGGCAACACTGATTAGTTTGTTTCTTAAGGATTCTGATACATTTTAATAGTTGCTCTCTTAATATATTTGCCAAAATTAAACTGATGATTCAGAATTAAGGATAGAGATTAGCATCATAGTTATTGATGGGGGAGGGTTTGTTTACAATGTAACTATAATGTAGAATACTTAAGAAAATAATTAACCAATTTTGTACCTGATAGAAACAAGAACTAATCAGATATGTTACAAAAAAAGAAAACGTAGATGGAACACATTGAATATTTACCTAATTGCATTGCTAGAATTTTGTGAAGAATTTTGATTTACTTCATGGAGAAATATGAATATAACATATATTAATTAAAAAATAACAGAATATATGTGTCACAAAGGAAGTAACTGAAAAAATGTCAATGCTCTAATTTTATATAATGTGCAAAAAGTATGGGTCCAGTTTAGTATTATATTTACATTGTAAATAGAACCCCACCCCAATTATAAACTTAAATATAACTTCTTTCAAAACTGACAGTTTCCCAAATATAATGAAGGTCTCACTGAATGATGGCATATAAGATTATTTAAGAAAAATGTTTAATATGATTTTTGCTGTTTAAGGGGAATTTTCTATTGGAATTTTCTAAAATTTATCTTCTGAATGGGAGAGATTATCATAAAAGAATTAAGATGTTACAAGTCTTTTACATGCTTACTGACACACCTCAACTTTAGACAAATGTGTTTAGTGATTCTGATATAATGAATCCTCAAACTTTGGTCAATAGAAACTCTGGCCACAGATCTCTGGAAACATATGTAGATTCCAGAGTAACATTTTATTTAAAGTAAGGTTCACTCTGTACAAGGCCCGAGGCAATTGGGAAGAAGCTGTTTGAGTGGAACTTACTTATCACTGATGGAATACAGAGAGAATGCGCATGATTTGCTACTATGTTAGTGGTATGGTGAGTCTTAGATGTGAAGGTTAGACCGAGTGGAACGAAGAAATGTGAGGACTGAGCAGCTCCCGCCTAAATATGGCAGCAGTATTCCAATTTCTGCCTGATTTGGGTCTTATAAAGGTAGCAGATAGCATGAGGAGTCAGGTACTTACTGGAATGTACAGAGAGCTGATTATATGTTTACCAATAGATCATACATATATAAGAGATCTACTTGAGGTCAGGTATGAGCTTGAGAGCCAATATTATCGCAAGACATGATGCCTCCTGAAGGGAACATCTGTTCATCATGACTGGAGATAGTTTAGTGTCAGATCGTAAAAGAGAGGTTAGCTGCCAATCTCTGATTGTCAAGAGTCTTAGATGTACTGTGACACTATTTAGCTATGGTAACTGATTAACTAATTAGTCATAGAAATTAAACAAGAAAATACTGAGAACAGAAAAGAAGGGTTAAAAAAATAGATATCTTGAACAAAATACTATTTGATAGAAAAAGATTTTATTTTTTCTTTTCCCAAGAAACCAAGAATCTGTTTCAACGATAAATTCCCAGAAAGACAATGTGGCGAGATTTGACAATTAATTAATGATGATTGTAAAAGTACTAGTTCAGAAAACACAAGAACTACAAGTGTTGAAGATATCATTCAAGATTTTAAAGATTTTAGGAGCTGACCAAGTGACAAAGCCATGTGTTCATTGTAAGAATTTTGTATAAGATGATATTCTGAAAGATATGGCGTTCAATATAAAAAGATTTTATTTTTACTTTTCTCAAGAAACTGAGGATTTGTGCAAACGGTAAATTCACAAAAAGGTCATGTGGTTAGCTTTGGCAATTGATTAATGATGATTGTAAAAGTACTGGTTAAGAAAACACAAAATAACTGGAAGCGTTGAAGATTTTAGGAGTTGACCAAGCAGCAAGGCCATCTGTTATTTGTAAGATGAAAAACCCTGCACCAGTTTTTGGTCAATGTCCATATAAGTGAGTGCCCTCACGCAATACGCCAGTCGAGTTAAGTTGCAGTTGGAGTTTCAGAAGTTCGCTAGCAGGAACCAAAGAGTTGCTTTGCAGAGCTGACAGAGAAATTTCATGATTCCTACCTCACCTTTCTACAAAACAGCAAGTTATACTGACGAACGAAGCTAAGCCAACGCCAACACTTAAAAACTAAACCAGTTGACTTAGAAAGCAAGAACTTGAAGAAAGAAGTATAAAATGTCACTCTCCAAAGAAACGGATTGGGAAAAACACATACTCCTGTATAGTACAGGCTGGTAAAGTTCATTTGCTTTCTTTCAACATAACCGAATCTTTCTGGTTTTCATTTATTTATTTTTTTCCACTTGTGCAATGTCACCTCTAGTTTTGCACTACAGCCCCAATACCTGATTGATCTCATCTACCTAAGATCAAATCACAACACTGAGGTCAAGATAATTACCTTGGTAACCAGTCATTGGAAGCGAGATGAGAATGACGGAGCTGATGTTGAACTGGTTGCATCTGGTGTGAAGCTGTTAGAATCGACCAACCATCTCATTTGGTACCCTGACCAAAGGATCCCGCTGGCAAGTGATGATCGCTGATCGACCAGGTCACATGATGGTAGCAGCAAGTAAGAGTCAACCCCAAAATGCTGGGGGAGTGGAGGGAAAGAAGTATCACAGCTTTGTACCGTGACTAGGGGTTGATCCCCGGTCCAACAATACTGTGTCACAGTACACCTGTATATGGTGTGTATCATTGGCAATGATCTGAATATATTCTTGGGCAGATCATTTATGTAAATCAGAAAGAGGGTTGATCCGAGAAGTGACTCCTGATAGAATCTTCCATTAGCTGCCAGGGCTGCAGAGGACTGACTGTTAATAACAACCTTCAGGGATCTACCTGTTAGGAAGGATTTTATAATTGTGAAAACCCTTTCACTGATTCCCTAGATGGAAAGCTTGTGTAGAAAACCTTTGTGCCACACCTTGTTGAAGGCCTTCAAGATACTTAATGATATGGTCCTCAAGGTGTATGTGTACTCAAGAACCTCACTAAGTAATAGAAGTTAGGACATCAGCCACAGATCAGGCTGATCAAAACCCATACTACTCATCACACAAGAGATTGTTCCTATGTAAATGCTCAACAAACTTCTCATTGATTAAAGCCTGAAAAAGATTACTGATTGTACTGAGGCGACTGATGGGGAAGATTGCTCGCCCATGTTCTTGAAGACCTGGCTCGCCTCCTTCCACTTGGCTTGGAAAAGATTTCTCTTTCAAGCAGCAGTTGAATAACTTTGCTAGGATTGGGAATAATTCTGGATTGATATTCTTATGAATAACCACTGGAATTTTGTCTGGGCTTATGGCTTTCTTCAGGTTGAGGTTTTTCATAAGTCTCGAGACTTCTCATGCTGAAATGAATATATTACTCACATTGTGCTCAGTGAGAGTGGGAGGTTGTGGAGGGGAAGTCTTTGCCATCTAACCGTGAGTTTGAGGCAAAGATCGAGGTGAATAGCTTCACCTTGTCTGTCAAGGAAGATATGACCTCAGGGCCATTTATACTAGAGGGTACAGCTGCTTTGCCTCTGTTCATGATTTGCTTCAATCCAATTTATTTCATTTCAACCTTGGCCTGGACAGTTTGCATGTAGCTGCAGTTTGTGTTTTCCAGACCTCACTTACAGTGATTGTGGTCAGATCAGATCTAAAAGAAGTAAAAGCCAGACTCCACCACTCCTTGCAATAGATACTGAAGTAGTGGCTCCGATGAGTTATGGCTGCAGTGCATTTACAGGTGACTGTTTTTTTGTTGGAATTTCTTTTGGGGTATAAAATACTCCATTCCAGAAATGATCCATTCAGAGATGAGGGCAGCAGTTTTACTAATTCAGAAACAAAGTCAGACATCTTCTCTGTCATTTCTTAGTATTATCTGCTGTCACTTTTTCTTTCTTTTAAGAATTTCATGAAGCAATCACATCTTTTTATTTTGTCTGCCTTCTGTTGGATTGACCTCTTTGTTCTGATGTCATCAGTGTTTTTCTAAAGGTGTTCAATTTTGAGTTATTGACTTATTCTAAGCTTTTGTATTTGATTTTGATTATATTAGCATATGTCTGTTTGTAAACTGAGTCATTTTGGAAGCTGTTGCATTGTCGTTTACATGTTAGGTTTTTGAATTTTTGTAGTTTTCTTCTTAGTTTGTATATGATTGAGAATTGTGATCACTTTTCTATGAGTAACTGGCAGTGTATTTGTGGTGTACCAATAGCTAAATGACAAAGCGCGGATTGATGTGAAATCAATGAGAAGAGGTGAGAAGGTATTGTGTTTAGAGAAAACTCGCATTTGGCTAAAGCGTGCATTATTCATATACAAACCATCAGTGCTATGGCCAGATGTGCTTGTCACTAATTCTGTTGTTCCTAACATAGCAAAAAAACAAAAGAAAATATACATAAAGTTTCACAGCATCTGAAAATTTCAGATAAATAAATTGAAATAAAGTAAAAAAAATGAATAATGATAATCTTTCAAGTATTTACTTTTAAATACAAATTTAAAATTAATGTAAAAAAATAATGCTATTTCACAACTTTATTAAGACAATATACTGATTCATGAGTGAAACATTTAGAAAAAAATAAATGAACCACAATTTTAAGGTATATTAATTGAGAATCTGCATTCATCAGGATGTTGTGAAAGTAATAATGTCAAATTTCTTTTGTAGAAAAAAACTGATGAAAAATTTAAATTACCAGGTTTGTTTAAAGACTTTTACGTTTTTCTTTAAAAAAATATAACATAAAAACAATTTTGTTAATGGTTATGACTATTTGAAAATAATGATGTCATTAATCAGCCCAGTTAGAAAGGAAAAATTTAAAAGGCAAAACAAGTAATTTTTTGTCTGAATACATATATTATTGCAACTGACACAACAATATAAATTACAGCCAGTAATTCTCCAAAATAATCAATGAGCATTAATTATAGTCAAAGAAAATTTAATCTTGAAATAATGAAAAAGAGATAGCAAACAATGGAATGCAGAATGGGATGTATTAAATACAAGCACAAAGGGACAAATGCAAACAGTCAAAAGAGAAATGGCTAAAAAAAACCAAAAAAAAAACCCCCAAAAACACTGCAGACACAATAATTAAGTTACATTGATATAGCAGACATGCATGAAAGAAAAAAAAAAGAAATAACAGGACAAGAGACATGCACCTTGGCCAGATGCTGTTGTCTTGCAGATATGCAGAAATGATAAAGAAAACAAAACACATCGTCTCCCTTTCTTCTTTTATCCTTTCCTCTCTACTGTCCTTCACTGACTGACACCGTTTGCAAAGGAAAAGCAAAATCTCCCTGCACATCATTCTTTTTGGCTTTTATAAAACCACCTCTCACCCATAATACATTGGCACTTGTCTATATTTGTTATTTCCACTTTCCTAGCTTTTCCGCTTCCATCATTGGTAAGTTTTCACTTTTTTGTTTTTTTTTCTCTCATTTCTTTATCATCTCGTCCCAGCTGATCAATCGCATTCATACTGATAACGATGTCAATGTTGTTAACAATGTGCTCCAAAACCAGCATTTCTTCTACCAATAATGTCAGTGCTAGAGCCCTTGTATGCAACCTCTCTCCTGTTGACTGCTTTGATAAACATTTCTCAATTCAAATTGTGTCACTGGCCACATGCATTCTCTTTCTCTCTCCTTGCATGGTGAAATGCCAAAATAGCTTGTTGTCTCCCAAGTATGCAGAACCAACAGAAAGAAAAATAAAACACTTTCTCTTCCTTTCCTCTTTCTCGAGTCATTTCCTCTTTACTGTCCTTCACTTGCCAATATAGTCTGTGCAGGAAAAGCAAAATCCCCCTGCCCATCATTCTTTCCAGCTTTTATACAACCACCGCTCACCTATAATGTATTGGCACTTCCCTTTATAAGTATTACTTCCACTTTCCTAGCTTTTCTGTTTCCATTGTTGGTAAGTTTTCACTTTTATTTTTTCACTCATCTCTTTTCCACAGATGCATAAAATCTAAAATGGGATTTTTTTTTTATTACACTCTATGAGGCCTGGGTGTCACTCAAGGTAGAGAGTTGCAGTGTAACAGGTACAGTTTATGTGGATATGTAGGGAAGATAACAGCTAATCCTAGACTTGAACAGGTTAAGATTCTAGTGATGCTTATAATAGAGAAAGAAAAATACTTTGATGGAAGATGGAAGAATGTGAAATATTAAAATCTGAGCTTAAGATCGGTATTGACTAAAATGAACAGGATGAAATAAGTCGGACCAGATGGGATTGTAATAGTGATACTATCAACCTTAGATGATTTGGTGATTAACAAGTTTATGGAAATAATAAATTAATTATATGACAATGGTAACATGTCAGATGACCATAGCATATCCATCTTTACAGTGCTGCCTAAGAAGCAAATGGATGCAAACTTCATTGGACAGCTAGCTTACTAAGACACATAATTAAGCTTACCATCAAGATTCTGTTGAACAGAGCACATAGCAGAATTTGACTAGAAATAGGGCAAGAATAGTGTTTTCATTAAAGACATTGGAAAAGCAACGTGATCTTTCTGAACAGAATTCTATCAGAGTAAGTAATGCAAATGCATAAAGACATATCTATGTTTCATAAACTTTTTTTTTTAAAATCTTTTCACCTCAATCAAGGAGATAAAGTAAGGGGTTACTGTGAGTGAAAGAAAATGAGAAAATATTATTGAGAAAGGATAATAAAAGAACAGTGTTCAAAAAAATAGATTATGACAATTGATGTTACATTTAAATTTCTAAGGTCACAGTTTACAGAAAGCAAGTAGCTAGAAGTAAGTTCCATGGGAGAAAAGCGTGAAAAAGAAACAAGTACAAATTGACTTAGATTTATGAAATCAAAGTACTAAAGGGGAATGCTCATCAGAACAATTGCCATGAAAATATTTATACAAAAGGAACAGAAAAGCTACATTACTATGGTGGGAAAATGACTGAATCTGAGATGTCATGTCAGGACTGACAATATTGCAAATTCTTCACTTGATTTTGTCAAAAATTTGTAAATATAGAGCAGAAGTACCAGACCAGATGAGACAACAATACTCAATGCACAGATGAATGAGTGATGTATAAATTTGCAAGATCGATTCTGGCAAAGAAATTGTTTACGATAACACAGTGGACCAATTTTCTGAGCAGCAGATTTAACAGTTGGCCATATCATATCAGTGGAAAACATTAAACTGAGTAAGCTCAATGAGTTACTCTCCTGGAGGTTAGCATCAGCCATACTGATGGAATGCAAAAAAGATGATTTAAAGAACAATTTAGTCTTAAATGTGTTAAAATTAAGAAGTTATTTCTTGCCTCAGTTGACAAAAGACTAGAGGTCATTTTCAGTATCCGTTGCCAATTTGAGTTTCATGAACCTATCAAACTTATCATTAAAAGAGCAGCAAATAGCTGTGATAGATGCTGAGTTGAGAATTGATGATGTCAGAAAGACTATATGCATTTGATAAGGTATGATAGAAAGAACTATTTGAGAAAATTGAATTATTTGGTAAAGATATTAGAATAATGCAAAATATTTAATTGGTACAAACTGACAAACAAATTGAGTAAAAATACAAAAGAGAAAAGGGTATAAGATAAAGATGTATTTTCTCAAACATATTCAACTTATACAGTATGGTAATCCTAAGAAAACTAGAAGTCTTCCCAAGATTTATTTGTAGCAGACACAATCTTAATAACATATGTAGATGACACTGTGTTAATGAGAGACATAAAGAAAACTGCAGAAACTCTTAGTCAAAGTAGTAAAGGAAAATATTAAATTAATAAAGGATGAACCATCAGTTGTAAGAAGATAGAATGTCTGGTTATTAGCAAAAGGGGCAGCCTCAGATGCAAGCTTCAAATCAGAGATGTTAGAATCAAGTAAGTACAGAAATTGATGTGGTTTAAGAGAAGGATACTGAGTATACCCTGGACAGGACATGTGAGCAAGGAGAAAATTTTAAAGGAAATGGTGTCAAAAAGGACACTTGAACTTGAAATCAGAAATTTGAAATGAGGAAAGATGGCTTGGAGAATAAGACATTAACAGGACAAGGCAAGAGGGGCAAAGGGAAACGTAGAGTAACCTATTTAATGAGTTTTTTGTAAGTGGATAGTAGAAATGAATGAAGAAAGAATGTTTGGAGAATTTGATGCTCATAAAATATATTACAAACAAGACAAGAAGAGCCTGTATCTTACCTAATGATAGTAAATGGATGGTAGAATAGGGAATGGAAGGGATAGTAAAAAGGCAAACATTATAACCCGTAACCTCAATGCTACAGTCTAAAACCTGGTCAACAGCTATTGGTTGTTCAATCCACAACCTCCTAGCCACATTGTGATTTTGGATTTCAGGGTGAGATAGTTTGAACCCTGCAGGAACAAGATGTATCGAATCACCATGGTGCTGGTCATACAAATGAAAACAGGAATGGTGATAGGAACTCACTGGTCAAATTCAACAATTTTATAAAAATAAATTTTATATAAATTTAGAACATAACTAGTGTTCAACCCTTCCTGCATAAGCCTATTAATGGCTCATTGGCTTTCACTTTGCTGGAAACAATTTATCTGTTGGTTGAGTAAGTTTTAGTGGTAAAGTAGTACTTGTTGGCACTTGTTCTCCAGTCTTGTAATTTTCAGTGGTGGATCTGAATGTGGCTGGTCATCTCTCAAGCCTCAACTCTACACTGTCCAACCGTTCTGGCTATCTCTCACTGTTCTGACTGTTCTGTTAAAATGCCCCAAACATCTTGCTTTTATGGACCCTAACTCCAAGCTGGAGTAGGATGGGGTTTTTGGTGTTTTCCCCAAGTGTCTTAATTAATTTATACAATTATAACAAGGCCTCTTTGTTTAGCATTTTCAAATTTGGGAATTACCTCATCTCACAGGGTGTGGGCACAGGATTTGCTCCCACTTCCTCAGAGCCATATCTCTCACCATTGCTTTGGTCAAGCGGAGACAATTCTATCTTTCACCTGAGACCATTTCTTCAGGCTTCCTTATATCTGCCACTTCCATTGAACTGTTGCTTACACCATCACCAGATTGGGTAGAGTTAACTCCTCCTTCCACTTACCCCTCTAAGTCTCACCTCAACAGTCATCCATCGTATATTTTTCTTCAATTGTCAACAATTCACATCTGTGATCTTTATTGTTTGGAGAATCTTCAAATTACTTGCCTTTCCTTTCTACCTCTTTAGGATTGTCAACAATCTCACATTTGCTATATTTACTGGTTGGAGAAATCTTTAAAATTGATTTGTATTTCCATAGTGCAATCTCTTTTGGCACTGGGCAGATGCATA